CCCATAGCAGACAATACAGCTGAGTTTAGATTTGTATACATTACTGATCATAACATCATGCACTGTTCAACCGTGTGCATGAGCCCCAATGTGTAATGTCAGTCAGTGAGATGGAAAGCTGTCAGTTGTCATTCTAGTTTTGTTTCGCACGATTTTCATTTTCTGTCTACTATGTTTCAGGTTTTCCATCACAGCCATGCGGGTGACGGTTATCGCCACAACCTTCATCCTTCTGTTCCTACATGGTAATATCCTTCATGTGACTGTCTTCTGCACGATAAAAACTAAAAAAGTCACTGTACACTGATAAAATAGTGGAGTATTAAGTACAATAATTAAAGTATAAATGTATAATAATATACATTGTTTAATATATAAAGAAAAGTCATAGATATTATATAGCCCTCTTTTAGGGGTCATAAGAAATTGTCTTTCCCAAACAGCATATTATGCTAAATCTGTAGGTAAAGAAGATAACCAGAACCTTCACTAAGTAGAAGAGTGGGTTTGATAATAAAGATGGCAGTGCCTCCACCCAGGACAGGACCGCTGTGAACAGAGGTGATTCCTTACTGGGAAATAAACCAGTAATCTAAGCAAAGTAATTGAGAGCAGAACTGCTGCAGCCAGTCAAAACAGAAGCCAGGGTTTGGATGCCAGAGCGGGTAATCAGACGAGCCAGGGTCAGGAAACCAGAAGTCAGCGTAGTCAGGAGCCAAAAATCAGGAACAGGAATTGGAAGAGAAATCAGCCAGACTGACTTGTACACAGGAACACAGGCAGGAACACACTGGAGATCATAGACCACACAAGTACAAATGGATAGGAAATGAGCTAAACTGCTGAAGTAGCCAAAAAGGGCTGGCTGTAGGCTGGACTACAACCAGGTGCAGGAAGTGCATATATAATTTATTTATAGGCATTTACAACTTTCAGACAATAAAGGGCAACTGATCACTAGTGTCACAAGTTAGCCTGCAGCCTCTTGTTTGTTTATTCTTACCTCCTTGCTGCTCCTGATCCCTTTCACATGTGTGTTTGTCTGTGCTCACCTGTGGGCATCGTCTGCTATCCTCTGGGTTTTATTTCCTTCCCTTCCATCACTTCCTGGCCCACCTCCTAGTTTGCTTGTCTGTATAAGACATTCTCAGTCTAGCCCACTTTGCCTGAGCAACGTCTTAGTTGTTGGAGCTCCCTTGTGGTTCTACTGTGAATCCTTTATTGTCTATCTGTGTACCGACCCCAGCTTCGTTCCTGAACTTGGTTGTTTTCCGCCTGTCCTGACCTCGGCTTGCCTACTGTATTCCCTGTGTCTTCTCCCATTGTACCCTGCTCCCGCTAGCGGTCTCCTCTACCTCAGCTGGGTGTACCTGGGAGCCTCGACCTGGTCCCAGCCTGCTGCAAGTCCATCCCTGCTGGGGTTTAGACTCTGCGCCCTGGGGAACCCCAAGTTGTGGATCAAAAGAGCTCACTACCACAGGTGCTGACAACTAGAATTCATAAAATGATAGCCAATCCTGAACCTTAGGCATCCCTCCTAGAGTGGCTCCTATGGGCTTGATCGTAAAGGAAAATCCAGCGAACATCAAGCTTGCATTGGGTGAAGTTCTATGGGGGTGACAATGAAGGGGGAAGAAAACTTATGGTTAAAAAAAAAATCAGACGTTTGAGTGTTCACCATCAGGGAGAACAGGGATAGGGTGATGAGAAGGTAATTTCCTTCTGGCCCAGTACAGAAAAAAACGATTGGGCTGGTGGCTCTGAGTAGAGATACTCCCCTGTTTTGATCAGTTTGAGACCTGCAGTTGGGCATTATATAGATACCTGTCCCCTGTTCAGATTTGTGATCCCAGCACCTGGCAGAGATGTTATGTGACTGCTGCGAAAAATCACAAAGGAGGCCAATACAGAGACTTTCCTCTGCAAGGTTCTGTCATTGACTGATGATCCCATTCTAAGGAGCATAGCCAAAAGAGGTCACACGGTGTGCATTTCATTGCTGTAAAAGAGCTGCAGGAGCAGCATACAGCCTTCTCATTGTAATAAGGAATGAGTGTACGGCTCGGTTGGTTAAACATTTACTAGTTCAGAGGGATCATGATTTCCAGAAAGTCAGTACGGAATTAATATTCTGACTGTTTTATTAGTGACTTATCCCTTGCTGAGACCTCTATGCCTATCCTGTATACGCCTGTGCAGTGCTTCAAGGGCTAAGGCTCTGTGACTTCTCCATGTGTTCTGGAACTTGGTGGATGATTCTAGAATCTCTGTGGGGACTCCATAAATATTCAGGCTTCAGTCTCTGCTCCTTTCCAAGTTCCATAAAACATGGAGATGTCACAGAGTCTCAGCCCTTGAAGCACTGCACAGTCAGAACACAAATTAACCCTTGCTCCTCTGCCTATAGAAAAACCAAACTAGATTTACCTATACTTGTGTAAAGCTACTGGATTTTGGGCCATTTCCCCCCACACAGCACCCACACCCAGGCAACAGGAATTGTCATGCTTTCTTTACAGGCTCAATAATCAGTCCAGGGAATTTTTGTTTTGTGTTGTTTATTTAAGGGATAAACTTGGATTGCATTGATAGGGATGCATGGACTTCCCAGAACTGAAGAACTGGCTAATGTCTCTGGCTACTAAGAATTGACTTAAATGGTACTGGAATGATGATACAGCCTAAAGAATATCTAAAAGGTTCCAAACTTGAAGTTGCAGGTGCTGGCAGGAATACCAAAGCACCTGGCCACTACTGTCCCAAACTAGAGATATAGGGGTGCTTCTGGCTACTATGGCCTGGCTCTAAGCTGTCCCCTGGTCCCAGACATGTAATGTATAGCACCTTACTATCTTCTCTCTACAGGCTTGGGGTGATTTGAAATGTAAGTTATTCACTCAGCCCCTTTAAGTGGTTCCTGGAAACCAAAAAAGCTGCTGTATGTGCACACTGCTATACAGGCTGGGTCCTGATTTCAGGATGTCTTCAGCTAAGCCTAACTGGGGCTGATAAAGAGTGTGTCAAGGTCCTACCTTTTCCCAGAGGTTATGTTACTCCATGTGCTGGCATCCATCTTGGATTTCTGCTGAGCATGGTGGGAATCTTTTATGCCTTCAGGTCTCTGAGGTCCATCCCCCAGAAGGGTGTGGCTGAGTACATATAAGCCTGTGATCCGCACATGCTCTTTGCACTTGTGTCTTGGTCTTGCTACAGCTCTGTGTATACTCTCGTGACGCTTCTGGTATCTGACTAGACCATTCTCTGTGGTTTCCTTTGATCTGACCTTCCGTTGCTGAACCCGGCCCGTGACCTGTGATTCTCTGTCTACTGTTTTGTCCCGTTGTTGTTGACCCAGGCTGCCCTTCACCAGGGCCCCTGATGGTGGGGATGGACTTGACGCAGCCAGGATCCAGGTCATGGCCCCCGAGACACCCGGCTGCAAGAATGGCCACCGCCAATGGCGTGTAACTGGTAAGAATGATAATAGCATAGTCAGGCAGGCCGGGTCGACAACAATGGGTCAAAACAGTACAGAACAGTAGACAGAGGATCACAGGTCACGGGCCAGGTTCAGCAACGGAAGGTCAGATCGAAGGAAAACACAGAGAATGGTCTTAGTACAAGCTGAGTCAGATACCAGAAGAGTCACGAGAGTATACACAGAGCTGTAGCAAGACAAAGACACAAGTGCAAAGAGCATGTGCGGCTCACAGGCTTATATGTACTCAGCCACACCCCTCTGGGGGATGGACCTCAGAGACCTGAAGGCATAAAAGATTCCCACCATGCTCAGCAGAAATCCAAGATGGATGCCAGCACATGGAGTAACATAACCTCTGGGAAAAGGTAGGACCTTGACAGGATGTGAGGCTTCCAGCGTCTCTTACCTCCTATTCTGAGGTCCCCCACCAGCACCCTCCGCTCTTCCTCTTCTTCTACGAGTGCCCCCCATAGAAAGGTTGCTGTTGAGGCACTCATGCAGGTGTGCTCCCAAGCTGGGCTGTGTGCATCAATAGACACACACAACATGGCTCGGCCCCTGTTTACAGAATTTGGTTGACAGCAGCAGGAGCCTATGACTCCCGCTGCTGCCTCTGAGAAGAGAAAGAGGGGAGAGCGATGCTGCAGATGGGCACAGCACTGGATCAAATGAGTACATTAGGAATGTGAAGGGTCAATAGAAATACTGGGACATTATTTTCCTTGATGCAGGGAATGACGTCCTCCCAGAACGCGCACCCCCCCCCCCCCTCAATGCACCCCCACCTTTTGACACCGCTGATCACATGACACAGTAAAGGGCAGAGCTAGTAATACCAGTCATGAAATTGGGAAATGGGAGAAGGAGAGTAGGTGGTTAGCATCATAGAGACAAGTTCCTAGCTGCCACCCAAGGACCCCAGATCCTAATGCTTTTTTTAGGGCAATTGCAACCCATATACACTGTCGCCAAAAGTATCGGTCGGCCTGCCTTTATATGCACATGAACTTTAGTGGCATCCCAGTCTTAGTCCGTAGGGTTCAATATTGAGTTGGCCCCGCCCTTTACAGCTATAAGAGCTTCAACTTTTCTGGGAAGGCTGTCCACAAGGTTTAGGAGGGTGTCTATGGGAAGGTTTGACCATTCCTCCAGAAGCGCATTTGTTTTTATTGTTTTGTTTTGGGTTTTTTTTAAGTTTTTTTTTTTTTTCATTATAGAGATTGACATAACTTGTATGCTAGCAACTTTTAAAGAGATCAAAATTCACTTATCCAGCTCTGTGCATGAAACAATATTACAATAAAATAAAGATATAAAAAAAAAAATCATTACACCATTCCAGTTTTGTACATTTACAAGAGCTATGCAGAAAGCAGACCTGGATGTAGGCAACTGTACCAAACTACCAAATCACTGAAAGCTGATCTCTGGGTTAATGCAAAAATCTACCCTTGTAATGGGGCTTCCCAAACACTCCAAGGTTAAAGGCGGTATTCCTGAGTGTAGCTCGGGATTAACTTTCAGTACCAGAAGTGGCAACACCGAGCTACACTCCGGATTACCCTGCAGTGTTGCTCCGGGATCCCTTGATCACTTACCTTGTCCTTCGCTCCCGCGATGTCCCCCTTGCAGCATCCCCGGCCATCTCCTCCGGCCGATGTCGGCATCTGTCTTCTGGGTTCCATTCCCTGCGAGCGTTGGGATGTACAGAGGATGGAACCAGCGGGAAATTCAAAAATTTAAAAAGTGACATTCACTCAATACACTAAAATCTGATGGTTTGATACAGTAATGTAATACTATTTCACATAGATTTTGTCCCGAGTGCTTTGTCCGGCGCCCTGCCTGCATTTTTACTGTTCTTTCTG